GTTCTGCACAGACCAACATCCAAATTCCAAAGCAGATACTTTGGAAAGATGTGACCTTACCAGAATCTTGGACCATGAAGAATGAAAATTTTGATAAAGAATCTAGTACTGAGTCAACTACAACTGATTTGGAGATTATCAGAGAACTCCTAGATGGATCAGTTAAAATATCTTTTGATACTGCTAGATCCAGTAGATCTAGTAGGTTCACGCCCAGGCATGATCAGGTTCCTGAAGGAAGGAAATCTGATTTCTCATCTGTTTCCCATAGAGACAGAGAAATTGCCAAAGAACTTGACCATAGGTTAAAAGGAATCGCTAATTCCTTTGACCCAGTGGCTAGGCCAGTATACACTCCCATAAGTGTACCATTAAAGTCTAGATACACAGAATTTAAACAAACAGAGAATGATGAATTTACTCCTTCACCTTCTCTGTCACCCACTGCTAGTGCCTTTGATGGAAATACAGGATCCAGCAAAATCCATCAATTATACACTATCACTAGGGAAAAAGAATTTTTTATGCCTGATATTTACAAGTTAAAAAAAAATTTCAAAACCCCTGAGAACAAACCTTTTAGGAAAGCTTTTGAATCTCTACCTTGTAAAAATCAAGAAAAAATAAAAAAAGAATGGATTTCTTTAATATATAAATTAGAATATGAGATTGTTTTAGAAGACTACTTAAAAAACTTCCACAAAGAAGTAAAAGTAGTAACTCAACAAAATTGGAAAACATAATCTGCTATGGTAACCTCTAGTCACCCCCCAGTAGAAACTATTGAAATTAAATATGCTACCAAAACTGTTACTGCTACTCCCTTTAAGATTCCAGTTTTAGAATCTGAAAAGAAGATAGTTGAACAGGTCAATTACACCAACCAAAGCCTGATTACTATAGGAAAACAGTTGGATAAAATTGAAACGAAAATAGATGAAATTAAACAATCTTCAGTAGAAAGACCTCTAGTTAACCTACCTGAAGAAAGGAAAAATTTAGGTTTAAAGGATAAAAACCTAATTCAACAAATTGATGCACTCTTATCTAAGAAGGAATCTACCAGTACTTCTCAGATAACAGTCATCAACCAAACTGAAGAAAGTTCAGAGTTCAATGTAGAATCCAGTAGTCCGGAAGACACCACTGATTCTGACTCTGAAATAAAAAACCTNCAAAACTATGGAAAGATTTAGTAAGGAAAAGAAAAAAGAAATCACCTTACAAGATCTTCAGAGTGAAGTTAATAAGCTTAAACTAGAAATAAAAGATTTAAAAGCTCAAGACAAAAAATTTGCTGAAGCTTTAACTCTTTTACAAACAGAAAAACATTCTGAAAAATTCCAGGATTCTGATAGTGAAAATCAGACTGAAGATTTTACTAATCCTTTTGATCATCACAGCAATAGGCAGAGGATACCCGTAACCTCCACCATAGTGGAAAATTCTGGTTTAACGAACCTGTCCTCATTCCCACAAGGAAGCTGTAGCAATGATGACAAGAGAATTAGTCTGATTAACTCTTTAACTGTCCAAAAATGACATGTTGAAGTAAAATTAATCATTAACAACAGTTATCATATTACTGTTATTGCCTTATTAGACACTGGAACAGATGTAAACTGCATCCAAGAAGAATTAATTCCAACTATGTTTTATGAAAAAACATTAGAAAGAATTAGTTCTACTAATGGCAGTAAAATGAATGTTAAATACAAACTTCCAAGAGTTCATGTATGTCAACAAGATGTATGTTTTGAAACATCATTCTTACTTGTTAAAGACATGACTGACTCTGTTATACTTGGTCTTCCATTTATATATCTTTTGTACCCTTTTACTACAAATACAAATGGAATATCAACCAAGCATTTTGGGAGAAAAATTGTA